CCATTAACAAGAACGTTGATACCTACGACGTACACACATCATAATTTCAGCTGAAACGAATTCAGAAAAAAAACCAAGCTCTTGTATTATAGATTTTTAAATAAGACCTAGTCAACTCGAATTAATTATGCCTTACTAATATAATCTTGAGGTTGCTGTTTGTTCTTGACTCCTCCCACGCTTTTTCATAGAATGTATTTGTTTTCAAAGGCAAGAATTGCTACCGCCGCCTTTAAGGGCGGCCGCCATCGCCGCGGCCGGAAAAACTGGCTTTTAGAGCCTCAAAATTTGAGTATTCACAGTCTCGCAGGTACAAAAGTGGACTGGGATGGGGAGACAATTTTCCGTAGGACATGCTTCATCCGATTAGCTAAGACCTTTGCCACAATCTTATATAAAACATTACATAGGGAAATTGGCCACAGATCTTCCACAAATTCAGGTTTATCAATTTTTGGAATTAGCACTAAGGTTGTCTCGTTCACCAGATTAGGAAAAGAGCCGTGTGCAATCCACCGTTTACAGCTAGTAGTAACATCTGAACCCACAACTGACCAAAATTTCTGAAAGAACACGGATTGAACCCATCAGGGCCAGGACTTTTGTCCGGGTGCATTTGAAATACCACCGATCGAAACTCGTCATCAAGGAAAGGGGCCATAAGATTATCATTATCAGTTTCAGAGACCCGAGAATTAACATGCTCAAGAACAGGACTAGACTGGATAGGTGTGGCCATAAATAGTGTAGTGAAGTATTCTAGGAACACAATATGCATATCCCTCAGTTCTTCCTTCCAGTCACCTCTCGAGTCCCAGATACCTGGAAGATAGTTTAATTTTTTACGTGAGGAAACTGAGGAGTGAAAGTACCTGGTATTTTTATCCCCATGAGCAAGCCAGAATATTTTTTATCGTTGTTTCCAATACTGCTCTTCTTTAAGAAGCAAATCACCAAGCTGCTTTTGTAGTAAAAAATACTCTGAATTGTCACTGCACTGGTGGACTCGAAAGCCATTAAGTCGGGTTTTAAGCAATTTAATATCTTTAAGGAACTTACTATGTAAGTCACGTCCCCAAATTCGCAACCCAGATCTGCATGCTTGCAGTTTACCCATTACATCACCGTGGGCTCCACGGGCCCAATTATGAGTAACAGTCTCATCAAGGTTAGGCTCCCCAATCCATGCATTTTCAAACATAAAGCTAATATGTCTTTTAGTCCTTAGGTCAGTGCCCAATAAAAGCAATAATGGAGAATGGTCCGATGTGCCACTAATTAAATTGTGAACCGTAGCATTTGGGAAAAAGCGAGGCCATGTATCTGAAGCCACCATTTGGTCCAATCTTTCCTCAATTTTGTTACGTCCCCTACCAGACCGCCATGTAAATGGATACCCTACCATACCGAGATCGGAGACCCGACACACCTCCAGCACTTCTCGAAATCCCTCATGATTACGTAGCTCATAAGGGTGGCCCCCTATCTTCTCATCATCTGCAAGTAGGTTATTAAAGTCACCCATTAGAAGCCAAGGAAGGTTGTGCTGACTAGCTAGAGTTTTAAGGAGAGTCCAAGTGTCTGGCTTCCTATGGTGTTCAAGGAACCCATATACACATGTCATTCGCCAAGTATGTGGTCCCTAAGTTATTTGCATATCAATGTGATTTGGGGAGTAAGAATAAAGATCAACATTCAAATTATTATTCCAAAAGATAGCTAAACCACCACTTCGACCAAGACAATCAACTGAAAAAGAAGAGGAAAAACCACACTGCAAACTTAAGTTTTTAACATAAGAGGAAGCTACTTTTGTCGTCTCCATAAGAAAGCAGAACATGGGCTTATTGGCACGAACAGGGCTTATTTGCACGAACAAGATCCTTTAGAGCACTCACTGCCCGAGGGTTGCCCATCCCTCGGCAGTTCCAACATAGGAACGTCATGGCTCTCGGCGGCCCTGAGTACTAGGGCTCGCCGCTTTAACTGAGGTGCTAACTAAAGATGCTCCATCACTGCTGTGTATGTTTGGATCAATTTGCATGGCTGAAGTAGAAGGTGGTGAGGAATCAATACCGTTTTGGGTTTGAGTAGTTAGGGTTACCATGTGAAGAGTATCTGCATGTCTGGCCCGCTTGTTTCCTTCCACAGTATTTGAAATAGCATCTTCAAGAGCATTGGGATCCAACTCAGTTCTAATCAGATCCACCAATACAGCTTTGCCATGATCTTGTGTTCCTGTCATGTCTGAAATGATCTTGTGTTCCTGTCATGTCTGAAGTCTTTGCTTGAGCCGTAGGTCTCGAATCCAGGAGATTTCCATGCTGGTCACGCAGCCACCGATTGTCATCGGAGCCCCATCCCAACTGTCTCATCGGAGCTCGTAGCCATGGCCCCCAACCACGCACAATCTCCTCCTCTGGTGTAGAAAAAAGGGACTCACACACCATTTCTGAATGCCCAAGATGGCCACAAATAAAGCATAGAGTTGTCAGCTTCTCATACATGAATTCAACCTGAAAGACATTCCCATCTTTATTCCTGAACTTCTTCCACCTCTTGAGGGGCTGACGAACATCCACTGTAGTCCTGATTCTCATATACCTCCGAGGCCCAACTGTATTGTTTGACTGGTCGTAGGATACATACCGGCCAATGAAGTTCCCAATCTGCATCCCAAAGTTCTCAGACACCATCCCAGTTGGGATCTTGTGAGCTTGCACCCAAAAGTCCACATGGTGCAATTCAACTGAACCTGGGTCCTGGCCTTGATCTACCTTTGCTATAAGTAGCAGGTTATTGTTGAACGTCCAGGGGCCCCCATTCAAAACTCTATTATAATCAATTTTATGAAAGAATTGGAATAGGAAGATCTTGGTATCAATCTCTGAGATGTTAACACCTCGGCCAGGCTGCCATATGCTAGCCAGAGTTGATTTCATGGCAGGAAAGTTGATCCGTCGGTCGGTAAGGAACCTCCCAACCAATGCCAATGGCGCATCAATCTGCGTAGCTTCAACTCGAGGAGCATCCTCGATGAAGTCTTCATCATCCACAAGAGAGAGATTTGCGAGACTGTGTGTGGTAGAAGAGAGAGTGTTGAGTGACATAATTGCGCTCATGCAAATGCAAGAAGATTAACATGCATAGCGCAAGAGTGTTTTAAAGGGGTATATTTATTTGAATTGAGTCAAAGGGACAAGTACAGTGCTCTCATCATTCAATTTTTCTTTATGTATTTTAATTGACCGACACAAAAGAAGACGATTCTCAAAATGGGTCCGCAAGAAAGACTAGTCATTACGGCCTGGACATAGTGCGTTGAAGCTTCTTCATCATTCCTTATTACACTTTTTTTTTTTTTTTAATGATTGACAAAAAAAGAAGAGAGGAAAATCTCAATCTGGTCCCACCATGAAACTAGTCGTTGGGGCTCTCCATCATTCAAGTGAAAACAGTCCGTGGAGGCTGCTCCATCATGTCCTGTATTTTTTTTTTTATTTTAGAATGACAAAACAGAAAAATAAGAAAAAAGAATGTAGAGTGAAATTACGCTCGAGTCTGGTCTTGAATGACAAAAACAAAAAAAGAAAAAAGAAGAGAGTAAAACCTCAGTCTGGTCCCACCATGAAACTAGTCGTTGGAGCGGAGCCCTATCCGGCGTTAATCGCGCTTCCTTATCATCGACCCCGGCGGCCTTCCGTTCCGGTTGGAGCTTGTCAGGAGGCGGCGTGAATGTGCACTTTCATAGTTTTTACTGTCTACACTAATGCAACTGCTAGACTCGGGCATATGTTGCTAATGTTAGTTACGTATTAACATTCAAACAACCAGCACAGGGGAGTTAAAAGACAATGAATTTAGTTTAAGAGAGTTGTGAGGTATAATGTCTGCTAAGAGAATGTCAAAAGCTGCAAGACGCATTAATAGAAAGGCAACAAGGTCATGTGAAGAAGAAGAAAGAAAGAAAGAGAAAGCTAAAAAAAGATTTGAATAAGCAAATATAAATCATAGCAATCTTATAAAAGCATTTAACCTAGATAACTCTATACACACTTTGCACAGGATGTGAGATCTCGAAATAACAGCCCTACCGAACACAGAAGATTTCCAAAACCCCGCGCTACGTGTTGTGGGGTCCCTCCAACACGTGGGATCCACATACATTTGAAAAAATAAAACACACGTTTTCTTTTGGAAGGAATCAAAGTTGGCAGTGAAAGTTATTCAAAGGTTGGCAATCAACCATGACATAAATGAAGAGCCGTATGTGACTCACACACTGCTCTCACATTACCTCTCCTATAAATAGGAGAGGATTTGCTTCATTTGATACACACACCAGAAATGAGAGAAACAAAATGTAGAGAGAGAGAGAGAGGTTATCTAGTTTTAAGAAGGATTTCCTAAAACTAGGGAGAGAAAAATAGTGAGGAAATTATTATGGGGTGTTTTTTGGAAAACACTTTGAGTGCCACTATTTTTGTATTGCTCTCTTTGTACTATTTTTTGTAATTGCTCTCGTTGTGTACTTCTTACTATTTTTTTTAATAGTGGAGTGAGGAAATTATTATGGGGTGTTTTTTGGAAAACACTTTGAGTGCCACTATTTTTGTATTGCTCTCTTTGTGTACCTACTATTTTTTTTAATAGTGAAAGAATGATTCGGAGTTTGTCCCGTGAACGTAGCCCTAAACAGTTGAGGGTGAATTACGTAAATTTTTGTGTGTCTCATTTCTACTTTTCCGCTGCGTTAATTTTCTCTTAATTGGTTGAAAGGGTCCAACACTACGTACCCCGAGGACCCAAAAGGAAGTTTTTCTACAACATATGATTTAGAACATATACACGTCTTTACAAAACATTCCTTCATAAAAACATAATAGTTTATGTGAAAACGCGCTAACTTATATAATATACACACACCTTAGAAAAACCAAATTATTAAACTTTATTGAAAAAAATAAAACATTAATGTATGCAAACAATGAGTCATTAACTGATTAACCAAGCCAGACCAACACCAAATCAATAATATAAAGCATAACTTATATTGAAAGTTCCAAACAGAAAACAGGAAACTGAAGCAGTCTTAAGACACAACACTAGCACCATGAGTTCTAGTGAACTCTTATTACAAGATAATAGCATGTTATTTTAACCAGGCTCAGATTTTCCATCGAAGCACCTGAACAGGCCGGAGCTAAACTAGCTACCTTATGATGCGAGGCCAGGGAAACTCCGGGATGCAATCCTGCTGTCATTAGCAAAGATGGCTGTCTCTATCTGCCCAGTCAAATGGTCACAAACACTAGAAGGATAATAAAACATGAGAAACTGAGAAAAAATTTTGTTTTCTTCAGTTGAGCTTGATCCTATTGGGGTTTTGGGCGATTGGTAATATTTTTTATTGGTCTAAAAAGCAAAATGATTAAAAATTAATTACCTCAACGATGTAGTTGAAGTTGTTCTTCAAAAGCTCATAGTGATCTTTCAGGCCGTAAAAGGCTTCAAGGCATCTAAAACAGCAACACAACACATAAAGGCAAATGTCATGGGAAATGAAAAAAGGGTACACTATTGTAAAAAATATATGAACATTTATTTCCATAAATCTAGATAAACTCAATAAACCTAATCTTAAACAACCAAATACTAACATATCAAAAATGGACATTGAAGGTTCTCTCTTACCTAAATATTTTCTCCTTTTAAGATTGTCAATCGAATTCGTGTTGTGACTCTATATAAGTCTAATATTGGCTACATATAATTATAATTCCAACTTGAAATTTCTTAGTATTGTCAATGCCTATTATAGAATGTATATTTTCACAATTTATGATATTAATATAGGTACTTTCCTATAAGCATAACATGCAATTACCCATTGACCAAGAATAAATTGAACGAGGTGAATGTACAGAAAAGTTTCCACTATGACTTGGACACACAACACCCAGATGGTCATAAAAATTGATATGCAGTCAAAGTTGCTATACATATCTTCAAACACATTCATGAAAACTAGATCGAAGAAGACGAGTATATTATTTAGTATTAACTGCAATTTATGCATTTAATAGATATAGCAAATTTGCAAACTACCCATCATACTAAGACTGATGAGAGATGACCATACTAATTAATCATTTAAGTCTTTTTGTGCACGGAAATTGAATCAAATTAGCTGAGACTACATCTAATTTATTTATGCATTCCAGTTCAATTTGAATAATGCTATAGCTATGAGTAATAACCTAGCTCTTAAGACTCCAGTAAAAATTTAGAATTCATATAATTTGCAACAAGTGAGAGAAGGAAGCATATAACTCCATTAAATATTATCCAAATACATTTGACTGCAGTCTCAATGAACAAACAAGAAAAAGAAGAACACTTCTTACCTGTCTTTATCTTTATCATCAGCAGCACATAGAAGTGCCTGACAAGCGAGGGACATCCCACTACCACCAATTCTGCAATTCCAATTGCAGACATTACTTTTAGGACCATTTTATAATTATTGAAATACCAAAATAGGGTAGGGAAGCATAAAAATGCCAGTTGCATATCATTCTTCATGCTGATATAAGAACATGGCCATCTCATAAAAATGCCAATGGCATAGTAGCCAGGGAGAGATTGTGGCCATTAGGAATATATCTTGGAGTTTATAATTAAGTTTTCCCTTCTTATTAAACCTATATGCTTTTATTGTTTTACTTTTAAGATCAATTGTAAATATGCTGATCTCTTTTAGCTTCTATTGGGAAGACATATTGGAGAACATAGCAATTAAGCACATTAAAAGTGTCTTCCATGGTAACAGTATATTTTGATGTATGCATAATGATTTCAACTAATCATCTAATTTAGGAAAACATCAAATTATTACGAGGAATGTTCAACTCATGTTGGGTACACCATAAATAAGAACACAAAAAAGATTCATTCGATAAATAAGAATAGATATGATTGCTATCCAAATATATACAGATGACGTTCCTAGCTCAAAACATTTATATCTAAATAAGGAATACTTAAAAAAAATGATCAATTTTCCATAGCTTCTAGCATAGCTTACGCGCCATAAGTAGTGTGAATATAAGTGTGCCCGTCTCTCTATAGTTTTCACTAATCTGAGCACGCGCCAAATGACTCGCGCGTAATTTATAACTATAAAATTCTTAAAAATGATCATTGTTTTCTAGTGTTTTAAACAATTACTTTGAACATCATTAATTCCATCCGATCATCTTGGATCGAACATGCGACAAAAAAAAGTAATTTTTTAGCCCTTTTTTTTTCCTAATGCTTTGATATTACATATAGCACATTGCCACATGCCACTCAAAAGAAATACCATCTAAAATGGATATTCTTTATATAGTAGATGCATTCAAGATTGTGAACATGCAGATCAAACTCATGCTTCTAAACATCTAAAATGGAAATTGCTTAATTAAGTTCAAGTAAACAGAATATTGGGGGAGTAAAGGGGTTACCTAGCGCTACTGCCAGTAAGATGGTGAGCAAAGCTACAGACTTGAGCATAGTCAATATCAGGTTGGCTCCTGATGAACATGGAAATTAGTCCACTTGATTTAACAATGGGAAACCAATAACATAAACTAAACAAGAAACTATAAAGATAAGGCATTAATAGTGAGTAATTACAATTGTCGGTCCAACTCTCCTATGAAGGATTCACTTTCATGCTGGAAAATGTATATCACTTGCACAATGAACCGTGGGTTTTCTCTGGTTCTTAAATCAAGGAGAAAATCGAAATTATTGCCTAGAATTCCCTGCAATGAGAGTACAAAATATATACATATATATAAGCACTCTCTTCTAACTGAACAAGATCAATGAGATTGCAAAAAAAAAAAAAAAAATTCAAAAAAAAAAAAATTCCCACATGCAGAAAAAATTGAAAAACCTCTTACAATTTACATTTAGAAACAAAGGCAAAATGCAAGTATATATAAAGGGTTTTTTGCCCCTTCTGTTTGGATTCTTTTAGGGAATTATTATTATTATTATTATATTTTGGTCAATAAAGGTATGAGATGAACCAAAGCTCACTCTTATAGATACCATTTCTTTTGCTTTTAGGAAAAACTTCCAAGAACGGAACATAAAAAAATAAAAATAAAAATAAAAACTCAAAATTTATTACAGTAGGCAGAAACTAATTGAACTCTATTCAAAACTATGTTTTAAATTTTCCTTTTCTTTATCAAACAGTTCTTTACCCAAAAAAAAAAAAAAAAAAAAAAAAAAATAAAGTCTCCTAATGTCCCAGCCACACACACAACAAAACAGAAGCTACAATATCAAATTCAGTAAGAAATACAACCGCATGATTGAAAAACCTTGCTTTGGCAAAAAAAAAAGAAAGAAAGAGGGGGGGGGGGGGGGGGGGGGTGAAGAAAATTAAATTAAAAAAAGAAAAAAAAAGAAAAAAGAAGTTAATGCAATAAAGCATACGAAGAAAAACTACGCAACATGGAGATGAAACAATGAAAATAATTACACAATCAAAGAAAGAAAGAAAAAGAAACAGAAAAATAGATGAACTAAAGAAAAAAAAAAAAAAAAAAAAAAGCCCAGCGCAGGATTACAAGAAAGAAAAACCAATAGAGACCTGATTCAAAGAAACGATCAATATAACTTAAAAATTATGAACATGCAAAGGATAAAAACACGGAACAACCCACACACAGCACAGCAAAAAAAAAAAAAAAAAAAAACCCTATAAAAAAGAAAGGTGATTGTATTTATATTTGTCTGATCACCTTCTGTTTCAAGCTCGTTATAAGAATCTTCAGTTCTTGCCTGAGATCAAGACCCACCATTTTGTTCCTGAAAAGCAAGAAAGAGTGCGAGCTTTCGCCTCTATTCTAACACTCTCTCCTGCCAAACACTACCTCTATCTCTCTCTCTCTCTCTCTCTGTCTTCCTTGCAGTGTACATGTACATCTGAGATGGGAATATATATAGGAAAATTTTATGGGTTTCGTGTCTGAGACAGACAAGAAAGTGAAGAAACAGTTCGTCCTAAAATCATATCTGAACTGGCCGTGTCTGCTTGCTTTGGCAGTGAAATCTGCACTGACCTATACGTGGATATCTGTTTATTAGAGGAGTTACATTACACTTAAGAACAGGTATGAAACAGCAATTAATACTCGCCTTTAATTCACGCGCTTCTCCACGCTCCTTCCTTTTCTGCAAAATGTTCATTAACGGTTGGATTCATTCAGTGCATGCTTATCCTAAATGACTAGTATGGACATTAACTAATAGAGATAGAATTTCTAATTGGGACATACGAGTCGATCTACAGGAAATTATTTGCCTAGACTCAGTTTGTAGCCACATTTTATAGACTAAATTAATTACAATAAGAATTTTTAAAAGAGTGTTCTGTTTTTTTTTTTTTTTTATGAATGTGTTCTGTTTTTTTTTTTTTTTTTTTTTTAGTGTATAGTTTTTTTTTTTTTTTTAGTGTATAGTCAAAAATATTCTAAAAAAGCATCTCAAATTCGTATAATATAAAATAAAATTAATGAAGATTTTAGAAAAAAAAAAAAATAAATTAACAATTTGTAAATAACAAAAATTCATATAAATAAATTAAGAGAATTTTAAAAAAATAAAAATTAAATCATCTTAATTTAATAAATAAATCATCTTAACAATCTCCGTAAATGAATTAAAATTTCATCACAAAAATGTCAAATACATAAATATATAATTTAATTGTATAATTTTAATTTAATGCCATAACTTTATAACTTTAATCTAGTTGCACGTCAAATCGATATAAAGAGAATAATAATTTTAAAACCAAATCAAAATTATTGAAATAATTTATTATCTTAAATTAAAGAAAAAGAATATTTTTTTTTATATAAGATGGGAAATTCTGTAAGTGCACAAAATCATAATGAGTAAATAAAGAGTGAGTAAGATATGATTCCAAGTACCAAATTGTGATATCCTATAATTATTAAAATAACAATTAATAGAGTTGTTTGAAAAAATAAAAGAGTCCGTCTGGAACAAATGAATTCCATAAAATTTTGTGGAATTCATTTGGAAATTCAAAATATTGTGTTTGGAATAAAAAAATACATATTTAAATTCTACGAACTGAATTCCATGGAATTGGGTATGCCTAACTCATATTCTAATAAAATTGATGGAATTTGTAAATGAATTCCACAAAATTGACTATTAAAATATTTATTGACAAAATTACCCTCTACTATAAACTTAACTATTTTTACTTTTTTTTCCTTTTTGTTTATTTTCTTTGGAAAAATCCAAACTATAATAACGTTTTTTTTTTAACCCAATAACGATGTTAGTTTATATTTTTGTTTTATTTACTTTTTTTTTTTGGAAAATTTCAAACCAGTGACGTTTTTTTTTTTTTTTTTTCAGTGGAACTGTTTTTTTTTTTTTTTTTTTGAAGTCTAGTAATAAATTAATTATTATTACTATGAAACTATAAAAATTGAGTATCAACAATTATTTTCAAATGCAATTAAAAACAATAATGTTGATGTTTTTTCATCTTTTCTGGGCTTGAATACTAGGGTTCTTGAAGAATTGTGTGTGCTTGCTTGGAATATATGAAATGCTCGTAATGCATATGTTGGGAATAATGGGCATAGATCTATTTACACTATTTTGTCTTTTACTCGACATTATTTGCGGGATTGGTGCATTGCAACTACCTCTATTTCCAGGCCTTCTACTGCTCTTTTACCCGTTGCTGTGATTTCTAATGCTAGATGGCTGCCTCCGATAGCTGGTGTTTTGAAAGGTAATATTGATGCTGCGATTCGTGGTAATCGCTTCTCGTTTGCTTGTTGTATTTAGGGATAGCCGTGGTCAGTTTTTCAGAGTTATTTCTAATTGTCTTCTTGGTGTTGTTGTTTCACCAGCTATGGCAGAGGCTTTTGTTGTACGATGTGTGCTTCAATGGCTATCTTCTAATAACTTGGGCCCTGTTTTCCGTAAGACTGATTCCTTGCTGGTGGCTCATGCAATCAACAGTGATATGATTAATGTTTCAAACTGGAGAAGAGTTATTTCAGATATTTAATAGTTTCAAGGTCATATGGGAATTGGTAATATTCCTTGGATTTGAAGGCAAATAAACATGGCTGCTCATAGCTTAGCTAAAGAAGCTTGTAATCAAGCTGACTTTCACATTTGGGATACTATTCCTTCATGTATTGGGAGTTCTATCCTCTCAGATGCTATTCTTGCTTAATAAATTATCCATTTTCATGTAAAAAAAAATAATAATAATATTCTTAATATTTTTTTAGTTTCCTTAATATTTTTTGATTTTCAAGATTAATTACTTAAATCAATAAAATTTTTATATCAATTTAAATATTATCATGATGAATGTTACTAGCTTATATAGATTAATTAATTAGCATAGAAATTAGTATACTATTTATATGAATTTATATGAAATTTATTATTTATATTTTAATAAAAATGACAAGTTATTATATCGTACATAATAAATATAATTTGTGTTTATTATTTATTTTTGTTAAATTATTATGTCAAGGGTATTATAAGAAATAAAGACAAACGAATTTCATTGAAGAATTTATTCCAAACATAATTTTGTGGATTTTAATTGAATTTCTTATTTTAAATTGTAGTATACCAAATATGACAAATTCATTTGCAAATGAATTCTACTTGGAATTCATTTACAAATGAATTCTGCAACCACGATTCATTTGTTCCAAACAGGTTGAAAATAAAATTACACTTAAAGAAATCAAATAAAGAAATTATAGAAAAAATTCAATGGAAATGCTAGTAGGGAATTTGACTTCACTTATTTCTATTTAAGATATTTCATTAATTCAATAATCAATTTTAATTGTTCAACATTAACTCTAAAGTACTAATATAGTCTTTCTCGAGAATTTATTAATTATATTAACTCAATTATCTATCTCAATAGTTATAATCAAATATGAATTAAATTATGAAGCTCTATGGTTATTTAAGAAAACCCACATAAGTCAAACCCTAGCTCTCACTTTAAGTTATTATTCTCATGAAATTTATTATCTTTTTCATGTCAATAATTCTTCTCTTGATAGTAATTATTAAAATAAATTAATTCAAAGGAGAAACTCTGTTTGAAGACATTAAATACTATAATAAATCAAATCTAATACCATAAATTGAAAATTGAATACAAGCTATATCAAATACCTAGCATAGAAAATTGGTTCAAAATAGCAGATAAATTAACTAAAATAAATTTATAAATATTCCTAATAATATGATGAAAATTGATAATAAAACAAGTAGATGCTTGACTTAAAGTGCTTTCTTGAATTTTGAAGTCTTTTGTGAGAAATGATGTAGAGAATAAAAATGTAGAGAATAGAATTGTACAATAGAACGTATTCTTGTGATATAATTTCCTTTATATAGAGTTCATAACTCTATGGCTTTTATTAGATTTAATTAGGAAAACCATTTAACTTGTAAAGGAAGAAATCTAATTACAATAGATTAAGTCTTCAATTTCTTCCAAAATAGGAGTTCAAAGTGATGAAATATGATAGAACTCAAATTAGGCAATTATTTGTATGGTTCTGTCTTTCCTTGTTTGATGTTTGGCAACTTCCTAATTAAATTCCTACAAAAACCTTCCAAAGCAAGATCAAGATACAAGGAAGCATAATTAAGAATTAAATAAAACTATTAAAAATGTAACGTCCCATTTTTCTATTGAATCGAGTCGTTGCTTAGAGTCGAGTCGGGCTGATCCAAAACTCGGTTCGAGCCATTAGAGTCTATATTCCTAATAATATGATGAAAATTGATAATAAAACAAGTAGATGCTTGACTTAAAGTGCTTTCTTGAATTTTGAAGTCTTTTGTGAGAAATGATGTAGAGAATAAAAATGTAGAGAATAGAATTGTACAATAGAACGTATTCTTGTGATATAATTTCCTTTATATAGAGTTCATAACTCTATGGCTTTTATTAGATTTAATTAGGAAAACCATTTAACTTGTAAAGGAAGAAATCTAATTACAATAGATTAAGTCTTCAATTTCTTCCAAAATAGGAGTTCAAAGTGATGAAATATGATAGAACTCAAATTAGGCAATTATTTGTATGGTTCTGTCTTTCCTTGTTTGATGTTTGGCAACTTCCTAATTAAATTCCTACAAAAACCTTCCAAAGCAAGATCAAGATACAAGGAAGCATAATTAAGAATTAAATAAAACTATTAAAAATGTAACGTCCCATTTTTCTATTGAATCGAGTCGTTGCTTAGAGTCGAGTCGGGCTGATCCAAAACTCGGTTCGAGCCATTAGAGTCTAGTTCGGCCATTAGAGTCCTAGAGTGTAGGCTAGAATGAAATAAGGAGAAGAATGATGTGGACTTACTTTGAAGGAAAACAAATAAGATCATAGTATAGAGGATTAGGACTTGCTAGCAACTAAAAAAAAATAAAGTGTGAGGTAGGAAAGGTTTTGTACCATTTTTGGACACTTGAGGTAACCATTTGGTAATTTTCACATAAAAGTCCATGATAGTTGTGAAGAAGAACTTAACCTCCGTGAGTCCATTTCATTTTCCATTTCTTCCATCTTATCTTCATCTCTTCGCTCTCACTTGTCCTCTTCCACTTTGCCTTTCTCATCACTTTTAGATGGTAGTGGAAGATGTTTAATGGAGGACTTCAGGACAGTTAATTCCAATCACACTTCTATTCTATCCAAGTAAGTAAACCTTACTGAATTTCATACTTGAGTGATTTGGTGATATTTTTTGGATGATTCAATAAGATCTGAGTGGGGTAAGGTTAAGGGTGGCGTCAAAGTAAGAGAGAAAGAGGTAACGCGTAAGAAGAGATTCGAGGAGCGTTTGTAAGGATGAAGGGTGGGTGGTATGCTGCTAGTGTTCAGTGTACCATTTTCTTTGCTGAGAAAGTTGTGTGGTGTGTTTGTTGCTATGAGACAAATATTGTTTCAGTGTTGAGTTGGGAAGGATGGTAATGGTGAGAAAACAGGGGGAGGTAG